CCACCTTCTGCATAAAAATTCTTATATATTTATTCAGTTATTTCTCTTCAATGACATTTCTGTTTACTAAAAAGAGCTGTTATCAAAACAGTGCATGTCTGCACCATCAGTTAAAGAACATTCAAGGAACTGGACTATGCCCTTTGGTAAAGACCCCAAAACCCGTGTATTCTTCCAGTGTACCTTTTGCATTACATTTGATACAAAACTCATTGTATGTTAACAAATGACCACAAACTATTCTCTCTCTTACTCTTCAGCCATGTTATTCAGTAGTGACTGTTCATTTGCCTTTACATCAGGAATGTTGCAGTCATATTCATGCTTGTGTGTGGATTCTTCAACAGAGGTGAAATGTTCAGTACCTGTGATTGAAAATGGTGAAGTTCTGGGACGTGTCACAGAGTACAAAGAACATGAAACCCTACATTTTGTGTGCAATCCTAAGTACAAGCCCGCTGAAGACAGACCTTCAAAATGCACAAAACTAGGACAAAAAGCAGAGTTTACCCCCACACCTGTGTGTGAACGTAAGTATAAACCAAGTAATCCAAATTTTGTGCTAGTCACTTTGATTAGTGACATCTGGAACCCTCATGGTTCTATAGTCTGTGTCTCATTACAACTAACTAACAGAAAATATGCCTCGTTTTCAAACAAATGCAGAAACTAAATGTAAACTGCAGCTACTCCAAGGAACACGTTATGAACCTCACAGAAATGTGTTTTTGCCCGGTGAGACTTTAAGAGTCATATGTGGAAATAAGTACTGGATTGTGGATCCTCAGAGCAACTCAGCAGAATTTACATGTGGAGACGATGGGAACTGGGATAATGACCCAGTATGCAAAGGTATGAAACTTGGTGGGCTTCAGGCTCACTGTCTCCAGAGACTGATCATGAGAGTGTTGTTCTTTACTGTTTGGTGGTTCACATGATGGAGATTATCAGTCTTAATTCCCTAAGATAAACAAGTCTTTCTCATATTCTAGAGGTTACATGCAGCCGTCCAAATGACTGGCAGTTACGTGACTGGAAGGTCCGTGAATTTCGTGGCACTAACTGGTATTATTGGAGACAAAGATTTTCTTTGGACGACACTGCAAGTTACGACTGTGTCTCAGGCTACAGGAGGACAGGTGATGCCAGCCTGGCCGAATGCACCAGAAGTGGGTGGACACCAAATCCACTCTGTGAAGGTACTGTGATGTTAAGTAAGGAGATTTTGGTCCAGTTAGGATTGATCTGTTTTGCTCTAATGGCTGTGAGTTTTTGGTCCAGTTACGATTGAAGCTACAAGACACTAAACTCTGATATTAGTTGCAAACTTAATCCGTTTTCCTCTATGTGCAGTCACTTCATTATGTTTTAAATCTGTCCTGCTCCCAGTTTATAGTGTTAAAAAGATCAAGTAGTGTAGACCAAACAGGAAAATACAAATTATGTATCACTCTATCTGGTGCTCAACAACCCTGAACTACTCTTTTACTACTTTAAAATAACATGTGGGAAGGGCATCACATGTGGGAAACACTAGTATAGTTAATGTGCAACATGTCCTGCTGTATCAGCATATATTCTGTTAAAATTAGTGGTGTGATCAGCACCAAAGCAGGCCAAACTTTGTGTTATTATTGTTGAATATTATGATATACTGAAGTATTAAATGGAATAGAGTTTATTATTGTTGAATGGAAGAACCGTTTGTCTCATCACTGCCTATAGCTTCTAAACACCTGTTGGTGGCACAGGTCACCAAGGTCAGCAGGGCTCATCTGTCTGGGACCATGAATGTCTGTAAAATGTAGCATGAATCCATGTAGTAGGTGCAAACTGTGACCTGCAGGTGGCACCGCAGCTGATCACCATAAATGTCAAAATACATTGAAATCTGTCTAAACCTTTAAGTATTTCTGTCTGCAGCAGAACAACACTGCCAGGATCCCAACACCACTAGCAAGAATGTGTTTGATTTTTTGATAGATGCTGTCAGAATTGAACTTTTTTGTGTTTTACAGCTGCAACATGTCAAAAACCTGAACTTCCTAATGGATTTATGGTTGGCCCATTTGATGGAAAACTGTACTATACCTGCAATGAAGAGTATAAGCTTTTGACTGAGCGCTGGTGGGGTGAAGCCAAATGTAATAGCGATGAGCTGTCTGAACTTCAGTGCATCGGTAATGAATATTTTACATCTTACAGGTGTAGTGATAACCAGCTTAAAGCACTTTGCCTGCAGTGGCTTG